AGCCATGGTCCACCTGCATCTTTGTGGCTGCCTGTCGTGAACTGTGGTGGGCAGAGATGACTTGCCATATCATGATGGTTTATTCAATATCAGATGGATTAGTTTGAGGGCGAGCTTATGATCCCACAGTGTGAAGCTACAGAAACGACATGAGATACAGGAAGGTTGTACGGACCTTGAATTCATTTGCTCATGTTATCCCCATAGTTGAACATAATGCCCAACATCACTGAAATAACTAAAGGATAATTTAGTAAGAAAATGTATGAATAAATAAAAAGAAGAAAAATGGAAGTGGGTTGAGCTGACACTGGACTTTCAGCTGAGAAAGCAAGATGTGGCCTGCATGGAATTTGATATTGCGTGGAAATAATCTAGGCACAAGAGTTTGGTAAAGGGTGGTATTTATAAGTTCATGGAGGCTAGTGAGCCTCACTCCAGGGGACTTGTCCATCAGTCTTTTCACGATTCCAAAAGCAAAAGGTGGTGAGGCCTGGGATGGGGAGAAGGATATTAGCAAGAGCAAGACAAAGTTCCAGGTTTTAAAGACCCAATTATTTGATCATTTTTAAGTATACTTTTTAATTCAGGTTTGGACATTACATAGTAACATTAAGAAAAGTATACATGTCACAAATTTATGGTTCTTTGAATGTTCACAAACTGAACAAACCCATGTAGAAAGGTCTCAATAAATAAAGCATTACTATCACTCCAGGAAATCCTTTTTATACCTTCTTCTGAGTTATTATTTATCCCTCCCCATGAAGGTAACCACTATCATGATTTCTAACACCGTAAAGTAGTTTTGCCTGTATTTATACTTTGTAAGAACAAAATCATACAATGTGTACTCTTTTGTGCCTACCTTTATTTTTTTGTTTGTTTGTTATATTCTTGGGGTTCATTCATGTTATTGCATGCTGTTGGTTAATTCTTATTTTCTGTGGAGTAATCCATTATGTTTATATAACACCTTTTATATATTCATTCTATTTGGTTTGTTTTCAGCTTTGGCTAATACAAATAGTGTCCCTATGAACATTAATTGTGAAGCTCTCTTGGTGAACATAATAGTGCACATTTCTTTTGGGAGGGTAGCTAGGAGTGGGATTATTGGATCATAGGTTGTGTTTGTTTATTTTAATGAATACTGTCAAACATCTCTCCTAAGAGGTTATATAGGTCTTCAGTTTTTGAAAGGGAATCTTTTGTAACTATAGTGTAGTCAAATGGAGACCCAAATGAAGACTGTGCCCTAAGACTTGTTGAACATCTATGGGTTACTCAGGATCAAAGACTCATGTGCCAAAGCCAGTTAGCAGATAGAGAGGTACCATGGGGGAATAGGGCTCAACTGAGAAACGCTATGGAAATCTAAGAAGACATGAGGAAACAGGATCCTGTCTCATATCAGTGATAACAACACAAGCCACAGAGGGGAATTTCTGTGGTCAGCATCTTGGTCTAATTAGCCGTGTGGTATATTAACTGAGTCCAACTGCTGCACAGACCTCAGCCCAAGCCCGTCCGAGGGACCTCAGAGAGCTCATTTCCCATCTCATCCCTGCATGGCTTTATGACTGGGGCAGCTCACTAGCCATCACCATAAGTGCACCAGCTACTTTCACATCTAAGAGTCCAAACTAAATTCCCTGAGAAGCAGGTTTCTCTCCGCCTCAGTCTAAGGCTTTGTTCCTCATATCCTTCCCACAATATTGGCTGTGAGGACGTCCACTCTTTTAGGTAAACCACCCTCTTGGGAGTGGTCTGGTTAGTTTATAGTCTTACAAAGCAATTATACAAGTCTCTATAAGTACATTTCTTAAAAACGTGGGTTATTTAATCTCATCCTGTTGTAGTATGAATATGTTCTAATGAGTTTAATTTTGAAATCAGTAGACAATAAGGGAAGTAGAAAATCCTCTGTATACTTTTTTATTTTATTCCCTACTAAGTTTATTTTTTTTTTAATTTTAGGGAGAGGAAACTGAATCTGAGGTAGTTAGGTAATTAGGGGTCTACATCTTCTTCAAATTAAGGCAGGGTGCACTCTTCGTGTAGAATAGCAGGATTGATGATGTATACAGTATTCCCTTAGACTCACTTTCCTCTCTCTGCTCTGTCCTCTGTAGAAGAGGAGAGGCCAGTATGTTCCCTGTCCCACATATATGGCTCTTTCCTACAGTAACATTAGTATAAAACATTTCCCTCGTTACAGGGAAAGCTGGGGTGCAGATGTCCTTTCGGATAGTCTTGTATCAGACTGAGTACTCCCATACTGGGAAAGTGACGTTTAAGGAATGAAGAAGGAGATGATAGTTGAGAGATTCAGATGACTCATTTGAGCAGCATAACTAATGGTTAACATACAGGCTTTGGCATCAGGAAGCTCTTGGTTTTAATTGGTGTTACTCCTGGCTCTGCCAGTTACTAGTTGAATAAGTTGAGTAACTTGTTTAACTAGTTGGGTAACTGTAGTAACTTGTTTAACTAGTTGAGTAACTGTATAAGGCAGTTTACTTACCCTCTGAGTTTCCTTGGCTGAGAGAATTAACTATGATAATGTACATTAAGTAGTTACACTTAAAGATACACCCACATGGTGGTGGTGGAGTTGTCTGCCCTCAATGCACTTGTTGGGGGAGGGTGCATTGCTTGAGGAGAATTTAAAAAACAATACCTACTAAAAGTTGGATTGTAACTTATTATCACTATGTACCATCAGTTCTAGACAATTTCAGTAATAAAGTACTCAACCCTGCCAGATAATCCACTGCCGTCATTCCTGCCTTGGTATACCACTGAGTAGTTAGAAGATATCAATCTCTTATAAGAGAGATTTATAGGTGTATATATTTTCTTGGAGGTCCAAGTGGTTAGATGGTAAGACAGTCTCAGCCCTAAGCTTCTTGGCAGTCTGTATGAGTACATACAGATTAGGTTACAGAAGACCTCATTTCTATGTGAAGTTACAGACCACAGCTGCGGATTAATTCTGAGTTTTGGTCCATTCAAAAACTCCATAGAGTAATTTAATAGCCAAAATAAATTTAATTTAAAATTATCTCTTGGCAAAAATGTCAGTAATTACAATTTTCTAAATCTTTCTTTCTGAAAGAATAACATTGTTTATCTTCAATATTCTACTGAGGACAGGGGGATTTGTATACCTCTCAGAGAAATAACTCGATTAGCTCAAAAAAAGTGGTCACTATTAAACAATTAAAATAAGTGTTTGCTGAAGGTAACTTTGTGTCTTCCTTTTTGAAAGTGATTCAAAGGCATAATTAGCTCTGAGAGGAAGCAATGCGGTTATCACTCAGAAGAGCTCTCACATTAATCTTTTATTAGATGAAATATTCTTTCTCTCCTTGCTTTTCACTCTGCACATAGAATGTATTCAAATATACCTTAATGCCTAACTTTCCTTCCTTTCATTTTCATGGATCTGGATTGGGATTGATGTTCATGATTTTCCTTCTCTTGAAGAAAAAGTTGAACTTTTACTGTCTAATTTATTGCCAAGCCTGTTGTACCCTAAAAAATTCTTCAGCACAGATAAAATGCCCATTTAGTCGATTCTTTCTCCCCTTTTGGCTGCATGTGCAATCAATTGTGTAAAGAGTAAAAATTCCAATACCAAATGAAAAATTAAAAAATATATATATTTTTTTTTTGCTGAAGTACTTTTTTCCCTCTAGGCACTGAAGCACTGGTATTACTCCTATGCTGTGCTGATGTAACATTGTTTTCTCAACCTAAGTAGCTGTCTGGTGGTTTCCTTGAATACACAAGTGTTAGACTTTGTTCTTCTTGGGAATAGCAAAATGAAAATGATTTAATATCTCCAGTGAACGCTTGATCGTGAGAAGTGAGAACATGGAAGTTTTGTGCAGACGTGGCTATGTTGATCATTTCTATTCATATCATCAGGGATTATTTTTACTTTCCAACACTTAACCATTCGCCCACTTGAGCCAAAAGTTATCTATTTCTCTAGCCTGATCCCCTTGAAAGATAAACAGATCCCCGAAGTTGACATTAATCTCAAATCTTCAATGATAATTTTAATGACTTTGGTGCATTCTCAAATGTTTAATGCAGACATTTGGGGCTGCAGACCCTCTTTCCTGCCCTATTCAGCTAGTTAAACACCTATTAGACTTTGCATTAAACCACACCGTTAGAAGAGTGAGAATCTGGACTGACTTTCCTCTTGTCAGCTAGTCTCACACATTTATTTCAGAGTGAAAATTTGTTGCTACTTTCCCATTTAGTTCAATTTTGATATCATTCTCTGTTTCTAGAGCAGATTGATTTTCATCTTTGGAATGTTCTAACATAGAAGGAATAAAACATTTTGAATCAAGAGTTTTAACTTGCAGCTCTCAAATATTATTCAATGGTACAAAATGTTTTGGAAGTGTACAACCAGACCAAACCTTATCAATATGTTTGAAATTAAATTTAAGGCTTCCATAATATGTTTCCCTCTAAAGTTTCCTTATAAATCTGGTAAGTTATAAGCAACAGGAGGGAAATAACTTTGAGTTTCCAATATGTGCTAATAGTTAACAAGCCAAAAAGACATTTTTAAAAGTACCAAACATATAACAAAAACTCAAATGAAAAGTCATGGTTGATACAGAGAAAAGTCCATGATCTACATGATCCAGGGAAAAGTCACAGTTGACATTTTTACACACACTCATTTTTTTAAATGTTTTTGTGTATAATCCTATGAGGTTTTTTTTTCATGTGTACAAATTCCTATAACCACTGAAACCAATGTAGAAAGTTGCTCCATCATCACAAAGAAACTCCTTCATGTTGCCCCTTTATAGTCATCCCCTCTCCCCTTTTCCCATTACTCTGGCAGCCCCTTAATCTCTCTCTCTAACTGGGTCATTTCAAGGATTATACAGTATGCAACTTTATGACACTGGTTTTTTTAATAAAAAACTTTGACTTTCTATTTTTTTTAATGTTATTTTTAGGACAGAATGGAAGAGCTGGAGCCAGTCATCCAAGAAATAACAGTTCCTCAGAGGGAGAGTCTTAATGCTTGTGTTCCTAGTTGTTACTGCTGTTTGGATAAAGGGAAAATACAGTACTGTTTCAGTTCTGATGGAACCACACCCTACATCCAAAATGACTATGAGAATGGTAAGAACATAAGAATTTACTCTTATTCGTTCCTCACAAAATTCATATGGAGGCCAGTTGCATGCTTGCTGCATCAGGCTAGCAGAAGGAAAAAAGAGCATGGGAAATCATACATAGAAGCATTTGGGGGTTAGACTTGGCAGTGGTAAATATCACTTCCTTCCATATTTCATTGGCTAAAAAGGCATTAATGACCAAACCTAACTGTGAGGAAAACTGTAACATGTACTCTAGCTGTGAAAGCAAGAAGAAAAGCTCAATTTTTGAACTAGCTATTCTTTGCTATAGAGCATGAGGAAACTTGGGAAAGTTCACATTAGCCTTCATATGGATGAGAAACTGTGAAAGGAAAGGGCAGAAGCTGGAGTCCAGTTAGATGACTATTACAATAGTAGAGTCAGATAATGATGGCTCCTGGGACTAGAGAGATGAAAGTGGAGGTGGTGAGAAGCTGTTGGCTCAGGCTCTATTTTGAAGATAGAGTCAAGAGGACTTCCTGGTGGATTAGATATAGGATGATAAAAGAAGAGAAAAATCAAAGATTATTATTAGGTTTTGGCATTAGCAAATGGATAAATCATAGTGCCAGTTCTTGAAATGAGAAATACACAGGAATGGGCAGATTTGTGGTTCAGATGTGAGAAACAAAGAATTATCTTTCTAAAATTCCTACCAGATATTTAAATATCAAGAAGGTAGTTGTATAAATGAATGTGAAACTCAGAGAAGAACAAGTGGTGATATACATGTGGAGGTCATCAGTATATACAGTCAAATTGGATGAGATTATTTAAGTAGGAAATAACCATTTTAGAATTAAAGGTTAGAGCACTCTAACATTAAGAGAAAGAGGAATCATCAAAAAAAATAATAAGTCAATAGGGAAATTCCATATGAATTTGATATCTTTGAAGCTGAGTGAAGAAAGTTTTTTAAGAAAGAAAATGTGTTCACTATGTCAAATATTATTGTATTGGCAGGACCAGAAAAATTGAGGTAGAAGTGATCATTTGATTTGGCAAGATGCAGTCATTGTGACTACAACTAAAGGAATTTCAGTGTAGTGGTGGGATAAAAACTTTAAACAGAAAATTGGAGTGTGTCTACAACACTTTAAGGGATTCTTACCATGAAGGGGGCAGCTGATAATAAGAATGAGGGCATCAGAGAGACTTCAAAAACTATTGTAGCATGTTTGCATGTTATTAGAAATGCTTTTGTAAAGAGAATAGGAATTAGGACATGGGAGGGAGAGGAGTTCTATTCCTTCAGTAGGTGAGAGAGTGTGGTCCAATGCACATTTTGAAGAAATGACCTTTGAAAAGAGACACAGACAAGACAAAATTTGAAACGGTAGGTAAACAGTGTCTATAGGTATAGATCCCTATTGGTTCATAGACGTGATGCTAGGAAAGTAACTCTTTCTTCTGATTGTGCCCCTTTTTCAGGTAAATAAGAAAGGAAGTCAACAGCAAAGAGTAAGGAGGGATGGCTACATATTTGAGGAGAGGGAAATTTCCCTGTAAGTGAAGAGACTTACAGACCACATAAGAGTACTCCAAATACTGAGTTCTTTGTGACATCATTAGTTATTGGTAAAGACTGCTACACTCTCCTTTAATATAATGTATTCATTACTGGAGTTTTGGGACAAAGGAACTGAATGGAGGGACTTTTGAATGCTCTTTTTGACTGAAGATTTTATTATCCAGTTTTTCATTTTTGCACCAACTCTTGAATTCTACAACAATACAACAAAGATTCATTGCCAATTACATGAAGACATAATTCCTGCCCTCAAGGAGTTGACAGTCCTATGCATTCCATTTATGGAGGTAAGATGATCTTTAGGACTATTATCTCAGAGTTTTAAAAAATTCTGCAAACAAATTGATGTCTGCTATGATCTGAATGTGTCCCCTCAAATGTATATGTTGACCTTTGTAGTGCTCAATATGATGGTACTAAGAGGTAAAGCCTTTGGGAGGCTTTAGGAGGCGATTTCTGATTTCAGTGTGCTCATGAGGTACATTGCTGAAGCATATCCAGCTTTTCTAGTAACTGATGGCCCTCAGGTTTCCCTGGCTCATGCCTTGTGCAGCTTTAAGTGGAGTGTTTTCATTGAGACACTGCCTCATGAATAGCTTTCCTTTGGACCCTGGAAGGTAAGTTCTGGTATGCTGCAGATAGTGGATTTTCAGTAAGTTATGCTAGTGAGAAACCACAGTGACTTCTCCACCATCCAGTGAGCCGTGGATGTGTCCTCTCTAATGAGGTCTGGATCTCAGCCCCAGGGCGGCTGCTTCCTTGGGTATTCAATCTCAGCCTGAACATTGTTCCTTAGATTTGCTATTCCTACGTCCTTCAGTGTCTTTATGCTTTCTATTAGCCGTTCCTTCCTTACTCCAACACCCTACTATAGTCAATTCTTTATTTTAAACTATTACCATTCAAATTATTATGTAATTCCTCTCTCCTGATCAGATACCTACTGATAGAATTATCTCCATTTCACAAATAAAATTGATGTCAGGAAGCAGTATAATTCTTGCAAGTTCACACAGCTAGCAAGCAAAAGATGGGGATCTGGGTCCAAGCAGTGTGAATTCAGAGCCTGTGCACCTAACTACTGTGCTAAACTGCCTCTTAGATATAAATATAATGAATATATTGTTTTCTCTGGAGTATCCAATTGAATGATACAAAGCAACTTTTATATTTGTTTTTAACTTGAGGGTGACAAATAAGTCTGATTCCATAGCTTTCCATCACATGTCGTATTCTGAACTGCTCATTTGCTATGATTCTTTATCTTTCAGTGGAAAGTTATTATTAAATCATTTAAAATCTTTACTTAGAGGTCAAGCCCTCCAATCATGTTAATTTCACTAAGTCATCTCTGATTTTATTATGTAAATGTTTTGTGGGAAAATTCTATGTGCATGTGTTTTCTGTGCATGTATGATCCAGTTATACAGGTAGCATATAACTTTTTGATTGTTTCCTCAAACCATATTTAGAATTAACCACATAACCAGGTCACCAATGGTAAAATCTTAGAATATAATTAATGCGCTAATTTGTTAATTGTGACATTTTGATAACTTACTATTCTGCATTTAGCAGTATGAAAATGGCTAAATGTTTAAGGGAATCAGAATAACAGGGTAAAAGCTCTGATTAATTAGAGGTAGTGGTTATTGAGAGAGAAAGAAAATGATCCCTCCTTGTTAGGAAGAAATAACCTTGATTTTATCCTCGTTTCTGGAACTATTTACTTGAAAAGGCAAAAACTCCATGAGAACTTGGGCTTTCTGTTTCATAATACACATTGCTTTTTATGTTTGGTTTCTCCAAAACTCTGAAGAAATATTAAGCTTAATATTAAGAAATACTAAGTCCATTATCTCTGTTTCAAAAACAACAACCACAACAACTATCCAAAAACAAAGGAAACCATACACAAAAAATCAACAGTTTTATTCCTGTAGTTTGTAGCTTTGCATACCTCCTCAAGAAACTTACAGGGTTTTGCTTTTTTTATTCTTAACTATACCTGAGGAATGTTAAAACCAAAATAATTTACTGCTTTGAAAAGAAATGATTGAATTCTGAACTTTACCAGAGAAGCGTTTGAATGAGTAAGCAGTGTTCCCACCTGATAGCCAAGCAAACACTGCATCTTCTAGTGTGTAACTGGGCTCTGCAATTCATTACTGTTACCATCATTACATCTCCCATGTGACAGCTTTAGTTTTCTGAAAAGAATTTAATTGGTTAAAGACAAATCGCCTGTCCATCTCCAAGGAGCAAGCTACCTGTTTGGTTCTTTTTTGCAGAGGGAGAGGGTAAAAGTCAAAGCAGGAGACATTTGAGGGCCCGGTGGAGTGGAGATGCCCCCTTTTGACCTTTTCATCTGTCTTTTCATTCCTTAATAGAAAGATTCCACAGAGACCCCTGGGAAGCTTACGTGTAACAGAACTGAATTGCTACGGTTAATGTGTGATACCAGAAACAGAATTCCATGGTAAGTAGATCATCTTCACTGTAGCATTTTTTAATGTAATTTTAAAGATCGCTTGGTGGTTGCATTTATTTTTTATTGGGTGCATATGTGTGTATGCGCACAACATGGGTTGCTATACGGGTATAAAGTGTGCATGTTATGCATTAGTTTATGCTGTCGTCAACACAAAGTGACTGAGGTGCTGCTGTCATCGTGGGTCACCTATATACTGGTTGTTTTGATTTTTTTCTTAACTATACCCAAGGGATATTACTTTTATCCATTTTCCCATGAATAAACCCACGTTAGTGTTATAAGGGATTTTTTTTCCATATTGTCTTCTTTCAGTTAATTTTAACTTCATTATTAAGATGAATTGTAATGATGTTTAAAACCCCAGAGGCAAACTGGCTTCATTTGATTTCTTCTGGTAGATGAAAAAAAAAAAACTGTTAGTAGTTCCAATCTTCTGTGAAATGCACCCTGTGCTTTGTGCTTACATTTTTAATGTGCCTTTCAAAATAGAATTGATTTGGTTCTTTCTTTTAAAATATAAAACAATAAATATTTTATAAGGGAAGGGATTCATTTTTTCCTTTTTCGGGATATAAGCAAACTGAAACAGTAAAAATAATCTTACCCTGTTAACCCATTGAAAGCAGACAATGCTGTTTTTAATTAGTTTGAGCTTCCAAAAAAATACTTACCTGAAGATGCAACTTGTTAGCCCTGTGCTATCTCAGGAAGAGAGTTTTGTCTTGACACATGATGAAGTCTGTTCCCTCTCAGGCCTTCTATTCTCCCGAACAAAAAGAAGGCATGCAAGTAACAAAGACTATCTATAGATAAACAACAAGGTCCTACTGCATAACACAGGGGACTATATTCAAGACCTGTAATAGCCTATGATGAAAAGGAATATGACAAGAAATATATATATGTATATGTATATGTATATATTTGTATATCACTATGCTGTACACCAGAAATTAACACGATATTGTACATCGATTATACTTCAGTTTAAAAAATACTATATTGGTATTCACTCAAAGGAATTCACTCAAATAAACAGAAGTATTGTGTCATGATTTCTGGTGGAATTTCAGGCATCCTCATGAAAAAGAATGACACATCTTCATGAATTATATAGCTTTTTGTAGTATGCACTTTATGTCACATGAAGTTGGGAACCATTTTTTGCCAAGCTCTGTGTTCAGGCCTTGGGAACAGGAACGGGGTTATCTGGATATTAGTCCCTGTATCACGTAGAACTTGTCCTCTTCCATTCATTTATTTAACTAACATTTATTGAGCGCCTCCTCTGTACCTTGTGCTGTAGGAGATAAAAACATGAATTAAGCACAGATCCTGCCTTCAAGGAACTTCACATCTAATGGGAGAGATGGACAGGTGCATATTGTTTACACTCATGGAAGACAAAGAAGGAGAAGGAGAGGAAGAAAAAAGGAGGAGGAGAGGTAAGTGTTGCAGGCTGTCTTGAGAGGGGAACTTGACTTAAAAGACCATTTCTTCTCTAGAGAGGGCAACGAATACTGCATGGGGTGGTTTCTCGCTTGGAAGTTATTCTTCTGTGATAGAGTTTAATCTCACCTGAATTTTAGGAAACAGAGGCATTTTTCAGTTGTTGCTTCTTCATCTTTTCTCTCTCATTAGGGCAGTGACTTCTGTGAACTGAAAGGGCCCCTCACCCAGCCTTTTCATAACAATCCCGAGCCTGTCTTGCCAGCCTAATTATTAGCAAATTGCTCCTGCTGGATCAATGGACATGCTTTCAAGTCTAATAAGAATGAAAACAGTGTTCAAAGCTGAGGTATTTTTAGTCTTACAGAGAGATTGATTTTATGTGAGATTCTGAATTACCTTTAAAAACTTCTTTTAAATTCCAGCTAACATTTCAGGTTTGAGGATAACCCTATGAAGAAATGTTTTCTTGGATACCCCTCCTTTTCCGGCTAATATCTCATTGTGTCACTTGGCTGGGAACTGACTCATGCTTTTTTTTTTTTTTTTTAACATTTTTTATTGATTTATAATCATTTTACAATGTGTCAAATTCCAGTGTAGAGCACAATTTCTCAGTTATGCATGAACATATATATGTTCATTGTCACATTTTTTTCTCTGTGAGCTACCATAAAATCTTGTGTATATTTCCCTGTGCTATACAGTATAATCTTGTTTATCTATTCTACAATTTTGAAATCCCGTCTATCCCTTCCCACCCTCCACCCTCTTGGCAACCACAAGTTTGTATTCTATGTCTGTGAGTCTATTTCTGTTTTGTATTTATGCTTTGTTTGTTTGGGTTTTTTCAGAGTCCACATATGAGTGATCTCATATGGTATTTTTCTTTCTCTTTCTGGCTTACTTGACTTAGAATGACATTCTCCAGGTCCATCCATGTTGCTGCAAATGGCGTTATGTTGTCGGTTTTTATGGCTGAGCAGTATTCCATTGGATAAATATACCACAGCTTCTTTATCCAGTCATCTGTTGATGGACATTTAGGCTGTCTCCATGTCTTGGCTATTGTAAATAGTGCTGCTATGAACATTGGGGTGCAGGTGTCATCCTGAAGTAGGGTTCCTTCTGGATATATGCCCAGGAGCAGGATTCCTGGGTCATACGATAAGTCTATTCCTAGTCTTTTGAGGAATCTCCATACTGTTTTCCATTGTGGCTGCACCAAACTGCATTCCCACCAGCAGTGTAGGAGGGTTCCCCTTTCTCCACAGCCTCTCCAGCATTTGTCATTTGTGGATTTTTGAATAATGGCCATTCTGACTGGTGTGAGGTAATACCTCATTGTAGTTTTGATGTGCATTTCTCTGATAATTAGTGATGTTGAGCATTTTTTCATGTGCCTATTGATCATTTGTATGTCTTCCTTGGAGAATTGCTTGTTTAGGTCTTTTGCCCATTTTTGGATTGGGTTGTTTGGTTGTTTCTTATTAAGTCATATGAGCTGCTTATATATTCTGGAGATCAAGCCTTTGTCAGTTTCATTTGCAAAAGTTTTTTCCCATTCTGTAGGTTGTCTTTTTGTTTTACTTATGGTTTCCTTTGCTGTGCAGAAGCTTGTAAGTTTCATTAGGTCCCATTTGTTTATTCTTGCTTTTATTTCTATTGCTTGAGTAGACTGTTC